GTTTAGGGTTTAGGAGTTAGAGGTTTAGAGAGGTTTAGGGTTTAGGGCTTTAAGGGTTTAAGGGTTAGAGGCTTAGAGAGGTTTAGGGTTTAGGGCTTTAAGGGCTTAAGGGTTAGAGGCTTAGAGGGGTTTAGGGCTTACATGGGTTTATGCATACCGTCTCTCGTCCTGTCTCTCTCGCTCCTGATGCTGATATGCTCCAGAAGACTGCAGGTGAACGCATTCCCGGTCCAGTTGGCGATCATGATGGCGACCTGCAGCTAAGAAGCCCATACTCCGCAGCTGTAGACTGTAAGACTGTAGGTAAAAAGCAGCTGAAGCTGAGGTTTCTGAGAGTTAGGGGCCTTGCTGTGGTCCTTACAATAAGGAGTCTACTTATTCGGCTTCTCGGGAGTCTCCTGTTTTGTGAAAGTCCCAGCTGTGATTAGACACCATGCAACCAAACTCCATAACGTTGCTTTCTGCAGCGCAGGCTATCACAGGCACATTTGGAGCTGGGAATGTGGAGACTAGCATCTGATAGCATTAAGCGCTGAACCCAAACTGCCCAACGGGCATGGAACCCTCCCTTACCTTGACTTCGGAGATCTCCTCCTAAAGACAAGAAAACCAGCGAACCATGGCAGGACTTGGAAAAGACTTAGTGTCTCATGCCGGGGTGTCCGCAGTACCGGTGTAGGAATATTTCTGACTGAGAAGCCATGCGGTGGTCCTTTTTTATGCAACATAACAATCTATTTGACGTCTTCTTTTTCATCTTCGTGGTGCCATCGGCACCTTCATAGTCTCCCGCCACGCACCAATTGCGGTGCTAGCAGGTCATCACCGTGGTCACCATTTGCATCATCACACAAGCACAACGATACAATCACAACTTGCCATCAGAGATATCATTGAGTCTTCATCATTGCCGTCAGCCGTCAATGCCATCGTCATCGTGACCCTGGTGCTCTACAGCATCATGTTTCCTTAATTCAAACTCTAAGTCGATTATCAACAGGAACGTGGCTTGCTGCAGGCTGCAGGTACACCAAGATCCTGCACGCCCGATGCAATGTACATCCGGGAAAACTCGAAACCCGAGACCCTCAACTCTATAGACCCGAAGAAACCCTAGACCCTCAACTCTATAGAACCTAAGAAACCTAGACCCTCAACTCTATGGAACCTAAGAAACCCTAGACCCTCAACTCTATAGAACCTAAGAAACCCTAGACCCTCAACTCTACAGACCCTAAGAAACCCCAGACCCTCAACTCTATTGACCCTAAGCCCTCTAGGCTCTCAACCCACGAGGGTCCCAAGACTCGACGGCACGAAGGTCCCTCATGTAAGGGAGCAACGGAGAGAATTGGAAGACAGCAATGCAATAGAAACCTGGTACATTTCGCAGCTCCAATATGGAATGGCATGTAGACTCGTCGCACGAAGCTGAACGAGAGCTGTGCATCCCAGCATTGACAAATGGGTGTGCAGAGCATGTGAGAGGATGTTAACAGGGCTTTGAAAAGTTCTAACTCGGAGGTCTCAAGGATGCCAGCAGGTGTCGCAAGGTTGTGTAAGGATTCTCGATAAGGATTATCTGAACTCGTGGTGATTTCTTCAGGACCAATTATCTTATTACGGCATATCTTACAACCGCAGGCTACACTGGAATCACGATGACAATGTTGGGACCTCAATAACCGGGAGCGGTTTTGGCGTAAACCATGCTATATGTTGAAACAGGTAACCCTGTAAGAATTATGTAAGTGATGGCTTCAAGGCCGCTATAGGAGCCAAGAAGCCATGAACGGCACCACCAGCTGAAGAGCGCCTGCCCATGAACTTATGCACTATACCATAGTCTCCATTGCAGTTTCTTTTTTGGTTTAACCAAATATTATATATTAAGGATTCTATAAGGCATCCCAAAAAAGAACTACAACGGTGCAGGTACTACATCGGCAGCTTGGGGGTCTTGACTTCTATAGAGTTCAAGGCTTTCGAGCTGAGTACATGTGGGTGGTTGTCAAAATTATGGTCCCTTTCTGGGTCCTTATTATAATACGGCACCTATTATTCAAGGTACCTCAAAAGGGGCCATAATTTTGACAACTACCCATGTAGGGTTCTGGGTTTCTTATAGGGCGTAAGGTGAGGTCCGGCGGAGTGCATCTTGCACGGAACCCTTTACAGCTGGGACTTCTTGATGCTTTGCTCAGAACCTAATTACCTAGAGTCTCCATTGTAGTTGCATTGTAGTTCCTTTTTGGGGATACCTTATAAACTCCATAATATATAGTTGGTTAAGCCAGAAAAAGGAACTACAATGGAGACTATAGGTACATCTC